TGGTCTAGGGATGCTGTAGGATGAGACATGTGGTACCTGCGCTATCTCATTCCGAGTGGTTGTGGAGGGCAAAAGGTTGCCCAGGCGCCCACCAAACAGCCGCAAAACAGTCTGTGCCACCGCCTCGAGCCTGCGCTTGGGACACCCGTTGTCCCCATTGCAGGGCTGCACCCACTAACAAGGAGCCAGACAGATGGTGGGGACAGCAACACTGAACCCACAACAGGTTCCCTGCGCCCTTAGTGTTTCCAGCTCCCCACTGGCTCAGCAGTGACCCAAGGTCCCCCCTAAGCATCACTTCTTAGGTCGTTGTCCCCGCTAGGCTTCTGCCCTTGTGATGAGCATTAGCCCGGAGCAGTTCCCGGCCTTCCAGATCATTCAGCCCTTTCCCCAGCATGGAGCACAAGAGCTTGCATTTGGTGAAAGCACACCAGGTTTAATAGCACCTGTATTCAGGCACAGTTGTGCTTGTAAAGCCCTCCAGAAAAGCAGCAGTGTTTCACTGGAGATCTGGCAGCTTTGCTTTTGTTTCGGCTGCTCACAGGGATGGACATGCCGCCAGGATAAGGTCATGAAACAGTATAAGATCCACAAGGCTTTTCAAACATACATCCTGCTCCTGGTATCTCCAGTTACTATACAGGAGACAGGACGAGGAGGCCATTAAAATAAATTCTGTGGTGATTTAATGTTTTTGTTTAAGTTCAATAGACAACAAAAATGGGTGAACGTTGCAAATATGAATGCAGAATTTGTTGGATCCCTGCAATAACAGAGAGTCCTGTTTCCAGAATGGCCTTTATTTTTCCAGTGGACACCTGAGTGCAGCTCCCCAGTTGTATCCATTGCTATGCTGTTGCCCACAGGAAATGGTGGGGAGAAAAATATGTGCATGTTTATTCAAAGGAAACCAGCTTGTTTTCTTTGTTATCCATCTCCTTTAGAGATGCTATTCCATATGACGGTTTGTTTCCACAGTTACCATTGTGTTACTGGGACAGTGCATTTCTTTAAATTATTTTCAGTTTCATCTCCTTTCACCTTAAGGCTCTTGGGATTTGTGTTGAGCAGGAAGAGACAATTGCTGTTTTGTTGCCTTATTACATTTTTACCTGATGAAGCTTATTTTATCAGAGGCAAGTAAAATCATCATTACAGACTGGATTATGTGTGGATTTCACAGCTCATATATAAGGTGCTTTACAACTGTGGGGTTTTTTTTTGTTTGTTTCTTTGTTTTTGTTTTGCTGTCATGTACTGTTAAAAAGTACCCTATGGCAGAAACATTCTAGTCATGACCTTATTAAATTATTTCGGTTTCAGCAGTATGAGGCTGGCACTTTAAGAGAGTTAAATCTACGTAAAAAAATGACTTTTAACAAGCAAAGAAATAAACAGGTGTGAGGGAGAAATAGGTTTTGATTGAGGAAGAGGTGGACCTTAATAATCTGAATCCAGCAAACTCTTGAAGCAACCTAGTGTTCAGTAGAAAGTGTACATTAAAAACAAGGAACCTTCCCTTAGCATTAACTTACAATAGCAACAGTACAGTGCACATATTTGTGATACCATTTAATATGTGTCATTAAAATTACAGCAACAAATAGACCTCTGTAAGTTCACTACTGGAGAGGCAACAGATATGAAAAAAAGAGATTGATAAGAGATCAAAACACAGGACTGGCTGGCAGGACATGCGGTTCTGTTTTAGATATTGTTAGGGTGCTTTTGTGAGCTTGGTTAAATTACCTCAGTTAGTAGCTGTATCATCCTTTGCAAAATATACATTTCCTATATTTAAGTTAGTGCATTCCACAGTGTTGAAAAAATGAAATATTATAGACTATGTGTTATAGATATTGCTCAGAGAGGTGCAGACATGTCTGTGTCAAAGGCTGGCTGGATTGCATGCTGGGTTTACAGTTCCTGACAGATTTGCACTTTACAATTACTCTCACTTTTCACTAAATTGCAAAAATACCGAACTAGGAATATGAAGTCAAGATGCAGCTGTTAATAAAACCTTGTTTCTGCCCTTTGCATGTGTATTATTTGAGATCTAGTCTTATTAGATAAACATATAATAGTCTTTAGCAATGCTAAAGACTGTTAAAAATAGATATAAATATATGGTCTTTTCAATCAGGGGCATTTATTTGGACGTGAAAAACATTGACAAGCACCCGAAGCTGTTACTACAGAAGTATAGGACTGAATGGGAAACCACCTGGGTTGGTTCCGGTTCTCTACTATTTCAGGCAAGTGTGTGACTGCAGAACCCACTTGCTCAGCACACTCCCTGCCTCCTGTCTGATTGCCAAACACTTTCCAATGCTCTAAATAAATTCTAGAAATCCAAAAGCAACAAATGGTAGGGAGCCCCATGAGCAGAAAAGCAGAAATCAGAGGTACTGTATTACCAATATTCTTGGACCCCGTGGAGAATTTATTAGGTAAAACATTCATGTTTATCATGTTTATGATATTGCAAGCTGTGCTATACAGAATCACACCTTTTTTCTACATTAGTGTATGAGGTGCATAGACAGAACTAAAGAGTACATCTCAATATATGGTAAAAGAGGTATTGATAACTGTTCAGTTTGTTAAATGAAAAAGCCAAAAGGGCAGAAGAATTGCTCACATCTCTTGTAATATTTCAAATCTTACTTGGAAATTAGCATCGCCTAAAAATGTGAGGAGCAGTAATGTGAAACATCCGTGATTAATTCAAACATATCCACATCAATCTTAAATTGAGAACTCATGAATTTTTCGATGGTATTTTTGTATTCTGAATGTATCAAAGCTTTCAAGCCTTGATGCTTGATCCTAATATCGGCTTTTATGCCTTACCAGAATAAAAGCTTCCTTGGCATCTGTAAGACAATGCAGTTCATACTCCACATTTCTAGCCTTATACTGAGTGTTGTTATGATACGCTGTCCTTTGTATGGCACTCTGTCAAATACAGCACCTTAATCTCCACAATTTCAGTACCATTCTTCAGCTCATGAATGGAGTTTCTCTTTGCTTTTCCACATTTTATGTGTCAGTGTGAACGCACACTTTCTTGCTCACACATTAAAAGTGAATTTATCCTGAGATGAAATGCATCCCTCCAAAGTAATGGTGAATTTGTGCTTCCAGAGAGTCTGGTGCTATCTGTCAAAGTTTATGAATTTATATTTAGGCATGAAAGTCTACTCTCATTCTCAGAAAGAAATTGTACAAAATACCTCATGCTGCTTTGCTAAAATGGTCCTATTTAGAAAAACTACTGTTTGTGAGTTGTTCAGTCCTGTCAGCCAGTGGAGTCCAACCTCGTGGCACACGCAGGGTCACCTAGAGCACGTGGCACAGGACTGCGTCCAAGCGGGTTTGGAAGATCTCCAGAGAAGGAGACTCCACAACCTCTCTGGGCAGCC